TAATTATTACTTAATTGTGCGTTAATTGTTATTGGAAGTTAATTTGCGCTTTTATAACTTAAGAGTTGCTCTTCAGAAAATAAATCATTGATCTCAAGGCCGTCATGTAGCCTCCCCTCCTCCTCCAAACGGAACAAGTGGTCCGCCACTTGATTCTCACTACCCTTGTGGTCTTGAATCTCTAGATCAAACTCTTACAAAATAAGCACCCACTGCATCAACCTTGCTTTAGAATCTTTCTTGCTCATCAAATACCAAAGCGTCGCATGGTCAGTGTGAACAATCACCTTAGTACCCATCAAATATGGCTGGAACTTCTTCATGGCAAACACAATAGCAAGTAGCTCATTTTTGGTCACTGTGTAGTTGACTTGGGGATCATTCATGATCTTGCTAGCATAGTAGACCGGATGGAAGATTTTGTTGATTCTTTGCCCCAATAGCGCTCCAACCGCAACATCACTAGCATCACACATGAGGTTAACAGGCAAGCTCCAATCCGGTACGGTGATAATAGGAGTAGTAGTCAACTTGAACTTAAGCAACTCGAATGCCATCATACAATCTTCATTGAAATGGAACTTGGCATCCTTCTCCAAAAGTTTACACAAAGGGTTTACCACCTTGGAAAAGTCCTTGATGAATCGGCGATAAAAACCCGCATGACCCAAGAACCTCCTCACTCCCTTCATGGATGTAGTAGGAGGGAGTTTAGAGATCACCTCAATCCTAGCTTGGTCAACCTCAATACCATGTTTTAAAATTTTGTGGCCAAGGACAATGCCTCTCTCGACCATAAAATGACATTTTTCCCAGTTCAACACCAAATTGGTCTCCTCATATCTAGCCAACACTCTATCCAAGTTGTTCAAATAATCATCAAACGAATTTTCAACCACAGAAAAATCATCCATGAAAACCTCAAGAATATCTTCCACCATGTCGGTGAAACTAGCCATCATACACCATTGAAAAGTCTCTGGTGCATTACACAACCCAAAAGGCATCCTTGAAAATGAGAAAGTATCATAAGGACAAGTGAAAGTGGTATTCTCTTGGTCCTCAGGAGCAATAAGGATTTAGTTATAACTAGAGTATCTATCCAAAAAGCAATAAAAAGCATGCCCAGCCAACCTATAAAGCATTTGGTCAAGAAATAAAAGCGGGAAATGATCTTTTTGAGTAACTTTGTTGAGATTCCTATAGTCCATGCACACTCTCCACTTGGTGACGGTTCTTGTTGGGATCAATTCATTCTTTTCATTTTCCACCACAGTCATGCCCCTTTTTTTTGGGACACATTGCACCGGAGAGGTCCACGAGCTATCAGAAATGGGGTATACAACCCTGGCATCTAACCACTTGATTATCTCCTTCTTCACCACCTCTTGCATTGCTTCATTCAATCTTCTTTGATGTTCAATGGAGGGCTTGGCACCCTCCTCCAAAATAATCTATTGTATACAAAAGGCGGGGCTTATACCCTGCATATCTACCAAAGTCCAACCGATTTCTTTTTCCACCTTTGTAGCACCTCCAATGTGGACTCTGCCTGCATGTTAGTTAAGCAAGAAGAAAGTATAACTGGTAGAGTAGAATAAGGGCCAAGGAATTCATACCTGAGGTGCGGGAGCAATGGCTTTAGCTCCAAGGTAGGAAGCTATTCGATTGAGGGCTTTGTTGGAGGCATCTTCCAGTTTTTAAGATCCAAAGATAACTTTCTGGGCTCATAAGTGTACAACCCCATGCCTTGCAATGCATTTACACACTCCACATAGCCATCACTCTTCTCATCATCATCTAGGTTGAGCAAAACGGCTTCCAATTTGTCCTCAACATTCATTGTTGCACTAGCATCATCAACTATCACATCGGTCACCAAATCCACAAATGAACGAACTTCATTACTATTCGGGTGCCTCATTCATTTGTACGCATGGAAACCACCTTTTCATCACCCACCCGGAAAGTGAGCTCACCGGCTTCCACATCAACAAGAGCCTTAAGGAAAGGTCTACCTAAAATGATAGTCACCTCATAGTACACTTCACAATCAAGGCTAACAAAGTCCGATGGGAGGATGAACTTATCAACTCTAACCAAAACATCATCAATAATACCCAAAGGCCTCTTCATTGTCCGATCCGCCATTTGCAACCTCATGGATGTGGGTCTTGGTTGCCTAATTCCCAAAGTTTTGAACACCAAGTAGGGCATAAAGTTGATACTTTCCCCAACAACAACAACAACAACAACATACCCAGTAAAATCCCACTAGTGGGGTCTGGGGAGAGTAGAGTGTATGCAGACCTTACCCTACCCTGAAAAGGGTAGAGATGTTGCTTCTGGGAGACTCTCGGCTCAACAGGAGAGACAATAACATCAGAAAAGAAACAAGAGAAAGCTTGTAACAACAAAAGATGCCAGAAAGAAAATAATAACACGATTAAGTGAAAGGACAATAATACAAAACTATGCAAAACAACAATGTGAACACAACATAGACCGCTAACAAACCTAAACAAAACTCTATCAGACTACATGGTACAAAGAGGTAAGAACTCTCGACTACCCCCTTATCCTACCACCCTAATGCTCGACCTCCACATATTCCTATCAAGAGCCATATCCTCAAAAATCTGAAACCGCACCATATCCTACCTGATCATCTCGCCCCAATACTTCTTAGGCCACCCTCTGCCTTTGATGCTTTGGCAAAATCGGTGCTCCCAATAGTGCAAAGGATGGTGAGAGTGCCCGGATCTTCCAAAGTCATCTTGATGGTTTCACAATTCATCGATCTTTTCTTAGTTACCAAATCCTTCATGAATTTTGCATATTCGGGCATTTGTTCCAATGCCTTAACCAACGGCATATTAATTGACAAACTCTTTATCATATCGATAAACATTTTGAATTGGTTTTCACTATTTTACTTTGCAAGCCTTTGAGGGTATGGCGGAGGAGGCCTTGGCATTGGTGCCTTAGCCTTTGGCACCACCGGTTCTGGCATGTCAATCGCGTGTTCCCTAGATGGGTTCACCTCTTCTTGCGTCTCCTCCACACTTTCATCTATATCAGCTCTCACTTCTTCATTAGCTTGAACCGTGTTGCTTGAGACTTCATCCTTTTGAACCATAACATCTTCATCCACAATCCTTCTTTGATTTGAGGTGGTTGTACCTCTAACTTTTCCACTTCTAATAGTCACGGCCATAGAATGTCCCATATTATTCCCACCCTTCGGGTTCACCACCGTATCACTAGGTAGTGCCTTCTTAGGATGAGTGTTCAAAGCTTGTGATAATTGACCTAATTGAACCTCCAAATTCTGAATAGAAGTATTGTGCTAGGCTATTTGAGCATCGGAGTCGGTGTTCTTCTCCATCATCTGTTTAAACATGTTTTCAATTCTACCCATCTTATTGGAAGAAGAGCTCGGGCCTTGAGAAGGATAGGGAGGTGGATTTCTTGGTTGTTGGAACATCGGAGGCCTTTGAAAACCCGTCCCCCGATTGTTGTTGTTGTTCCACCCTCCTTGATTATTACTTCCCCAATTGCCTTGATTGTTATTGCCCCAATTGCCTTGATTATCCCAATTGCTTTTATTTCCTTGATTGTTCCAATTGCTTTGATTAGAATTACCACCACTCCAATTGCCTTGGTGGTTTTGGTTGTTCCAATTACCTTTGTTCCCTTGTGACCTCCATTGTTGTTAATTTTGCCCTTGAGCATTGTTTCTTTGACCATGATAATTATTGACATATTGAACTTCTTCATCTTGCTCATTGAATGAATTACCTTGATCATAATCAATATCATCTTGCATAAATTGTTTCGAACGGTTTTGCATTTGTTGACCTTGTTACCGTCTTTGTTTTACCGTCATATTCACACCTTCCATTGCATGCACTTGTTTTGGCCCTTGAACTTGTTGAAGCTGAGCCTTGGCCAATTGGTTCATGGTAGTTGTCAACTTAACTATAGCTTGCCCATGGTCATGTAGCTCCTCGTGTAGGTGAATAACATTAGGATCACATTGTGGCACATTGGCTCTACTTTGCCACGCCGAAGAGGTATCCGCCATCTCATCAAGAATTTCACAAGCTTTGATATATGGTGTGTTCTTGAAGTTATTGCCGGTGAGTTGGTTAACCACATATTGATTAGTTGTGTTGATCCCCATGTAGAAGGTCTGTTGGATCATGGCCTCGGTCATATCATTGTTCGGATACTATTTACCTATATAATGATATCTTTCCCAAATCTCGTGCAATGGCTCATTGGGTTCTTGCTAAAAAGCAAAAATCTCATCCCGAACCGTTGGCATATGTCCCGGAGAGAAGAATTTGGAAATGAACTTTTCTGCCAACTCGTCCCAAGTGGTGATGGAATGGTTGGGCAACCTTTCTAACCAGTCCAATGCTTTTCCCCGTAGAGAGAAGGGAAATAGCCTCAACCTCAGCGCGTCCTCAGAAACATTTGTTTGCTTGCTCCCCCAACAAGTATCGACGAACCCCTTGAGATGCTTGTAGGCATTTTGATTCGGAGCCCCAGTGAAGAAACCCTGTTGTTCAAGTAGTGTAAGCATCTAGTTGGTGACTTGGAAGTTGCCTGCTGATAAGTTAGGATTTTAACATGTTTTATGCCCCTATTTGCCTATTCTTTGTTCATATATTGTTACAAAATAGTCCTAAAAGGCTCACAAGTTGTGCTTGATCGCAGGTTTGATCGGCAAAATGACGAAATGTCAAAGAACAGCTCAAAAAAGAGTGAAACCTGCTCAAGTATCAAAGACCAAGAAATTTAAGAAAAGAAGGCCTAGTGCGGACAGCGCAAAGTGGAATGCGGCCGCATTAGGTGGTTCAGAGAGTTGGTGAATCAGGCTAGAAGAAGCGCGGCCGCGGTACACATCTCGCGGTCCGTGATGAAGGCTAAACGGCCGCACTACTCTTTTGTGCGGTCTACGGTCATAAGGTTCAGAGAGATGAAGTTTTCAAAGCCAGTGCCATGCGGTCCACGATCGTGGTTGCGCGAACCGCGCCAGCTCCCTCCGCGGCCGCGGTCCGTTCTACGCGGTCCGTGGAGTCCAAGTTCAGAGAAGCAGAAGTGAGCCTAGTACGGCCGCNTCAGTGCGGCCGCGGTCCATTTAATGTGGCCGGCACTGACCCAGCAGGGGTATTTTTGTCCAATTTTTTCAGAATAGTATCAATAGAACATTTTACCATTTTTAGGTTATCAGATACATCAGTGGAGAACTGCGCTCGTGAGAACGTATTTTGTAGCCATTTTTGGCATTTTTGCTTTACATTTACAATAGATTCTTGTAATTAAATTTTAACAATTAATTAATATGCTTAGTTCTTCATCTATTATTCAATTTCTTTATCTAGAATGAGTAGCTAAACCCATTAGCTAGGGTTGTGGCTCAACCCTAGTGTGGGTAATTGATGGGTGTTGCCGTCTAGTATTAGATTGACTATGAGTGTTTGCTATTTGGGTTGATTTTATGTTTTAATCTAGAATTGGTGGTTGCAAACACTGATTCAAGCTTTGTGGGTTTAACTCTTCTTAAGAAAGAGAGCCTATGACCCCAACCCAACAAGGAATTGGAATGGACTCATGAGAAATGATAGTCCCAATTAACGGGTTAAACCTCGAGAGAGTAATTACCCTACTTGAACCCTAGTTGCTTGGTCTAATTTGCCTACCCATTTGGTCTCGAGAGAGTCAATTGG